TTTTTAATTTACATCAACGATCTTCCAGATATTCTCACATCTAAGGTGGCATTGTTCGCTGATGATACTACCATTTATTCTTGTCACGATAAGAAGCTAACTCCCTCTGATTGCTTGCAGGGGGCATTTGAGCTTGAAAAGGATCTCACTTCTGCTACAGCATGGGGCTCACAGTGGCTGGTGAACTTTAATTCAGATAAAACTCAATTTTTTTCAGCCAATCGTTATTGCAATAATTTAGACCTTCCTATATTTACGAACGGTAATGTACTCGATGAGTCATCTACCCTTCTTCTTCTAGGATTAAGTCTCACTTCTGATCTTTCTTGGAAACCTTATATCAAATCCATTGGAAAATTAGCATCTGCTAAAGTTGCATCTCTTTATCGAGCTCAACACTTTCTTTCTCTGGATTCTGTTCTCTATCTCTATAAATCTCAAATCCGTCCTTGTATGGAATACTGTTGCCATATCTGGGGCGGATCTTCCAATGATGCCCTTTCTCTTTTAGACAAGGTGCAAAAATGCATTGTAGACATAGTTGGACCTGCTCTTGCAGCCAACCTTCAACCTCTGTCATATCGTCGTAATGTTGCTTCTCTTTCTCTTTTCTACAAATACTATATTGGGCACTGCTCGAAAGAGCTAGCGTCTCTTGTGCCACCTACTAAAATTCATTCTCGTGTTACTCGTCATTCAACTAAGTCTCATCCTTTTCTCTGTTACTGTTCCTAATTGCTCCAAAAACTCTTATTCGTCTAGTTTTTTTCCTCGAAAATCAGTTCTTCGGAATTCACTTCCTTTATCTTGCTTTCCTAATTCATATAATTTGCAATCTTTTAAGTCATATGTCAATCGTTATTTTGCTCTACAACCTTCATCTTATCTCTTCCAGTAACTTCCAACACTAATTAGAGGTTGCTTGCAGCCTTGTAGAAAGAGAAGATGTTAAAAAAAAATAATAATAATAAAATAACAGCAAAATGCTGTTATATCGTGCGTTATATATGGCGTTATATTCAAAAATCAAGCTAACGGCATATTATGCCGTTTTTTTTTAAACATGTTTTGTTTTTATTCAAGTAAAATCTAAACTAACCATTTGCGTACATTATTTATCTAATTAATAACAACCTGATGTATTTAACATTAAGGTTACTTGTAATGCATTCGTTACTACACTCTCGCGGAAAGTGTGGAGTTTTCCTGGAAATTAACTTTTTCTAACTTGACTTTTGCAGAGAAGTGTGGAGTTATTTGCACAAAGTTGTGCAAAATAACTCCACACTTGTGTCTAGGAGTGATAGCTACACACCGGTGTAGAGGAAAACTCCACACCTTCCGCGAGTATGTATTAAGGCATAAAATATATTTTTCAAAATATTTTACAATGACGAAATAAAATCATTTTAACATAATGGTAAATAAAACACCATAAATAAACCTTGTAAAAACTATTTCCATATCAATGATAAAAGTCTACTAATAAATTTTTATGTAACCGCTCAAACCAAGAGATAGGGTTCATATTTTTAAACACGTGTCAATAATTACATTATCAAAACTTAACAAAATCAATTATTTACAAGAAAGCTTGATATCTCAACTTGTTTTATTTTTTAATAACAACTTAAATATAAAAGAAAGCTTGATATCAAAACTTCTTGTTTTTTTTAGGCAACAATTTAAATATAAAAGAAAGCTTGATATCCTAACTTGTTTTTTTTTAAGTAACAACTTAAAATTCAAATTTTAATAATATAATTTTCAGAAATTTAATTTAATTCAGGTATTTTCCAAATGTTTTAAAATACTTCATTGTACCAGATTAAAGTCACTTCTATTCTATAAAAATATCTAAACAAATTTGATTTTAATCTTTTATGTTTTTACTGAAATGTATATCTTGTATAAATATTTTTAATAAAAAAATAGGTAAATTCTACATCAAATAGATTATTTAATACAAAAAGAATGTCGACATTCTTTTTGTATTAAATAATTTTATATAATGAATTCAGAAATTTATTATATAAAATCATTTAAAAGAATTGAACAGGTCTATATAATATTTAATGTTACTTACTTCAAATTTCTTACACAAGACATACTTTGCTTTTTTGGAACCTATTTTACATTATAAATCAAGCAAACTTTCAAGGTGATTAGAAGATCCTGAAAATGCTTTATTAACAAAAAATGTACACGCTTCTTTGATAAAATTATACTATGGGTTAAGGCGCTTAAACTCACCAAATATTAAACATGGAGACAGTGACAATCGAAGCGGGAAGCATATTTTGAAACCCTATACAGGCTCAGAATAGGCAGAGATATGCCCAATCTGATTCGCCAATTTTGAAAGAGAGGCTTTTGCGCTTGAGTTTAAATCAAAACAAATGTCAAAAAACGTATTGAATAATAAAAGAAAAATAGAGCAATTGCCAAATAATAATGACAAAAAAAAAAAAAAGATTTTTCTATCCAATTTTGTACAATATAGTCCATTTATTTTCTTAAAAATAACGATTTAAAAAAATTAGTTTGTTTTTCTTATGGTTTTTATAACTCTAAAATATAAAAATAACAACGATTGTAACAAACTATAAACAAGATGGTAAAACTTTACTATGCTGTGATTCTTCTACGATAGATTTTTTAAAACAGTTTTAAAATTTTACCAAGTAATATCAATAAAATATTATTAACTTGGTATAAGTTTTTTTAAATTAAGTTCTCATTAATCCTATCATTTAGGAAGAAAAATATTTTTCAAAATATTTATAACCTGGTGTCCACAAGTGTGTTTTGATATAGTAAACTGGTTACAAAAACAAACAACTCTTAACTTACCACACTTTTATGCAGAGCTAAGTGTAAAAAGGTAAAAACAAGAAAAATTGCAAAAATACAAGTTCATGTTGTTGTTTATTACAATTTCAAAAGATAATACATATAAAGCACATGTTTGTTGATATATAGCTTTTAACCTGAACAAAATATTGGTTATTGTATTCTAGAATTGGTAAAAAACGTTTACTTTTTAATAGCAACTGATGGTAAATAAAATTAAATAAAGCAACAAAGTTTGATAAATTTTTTTTATTATGCTATTAATTTATTTTACATTACATACTCCTGAAGAAAAAAAAATGTCTCTGAAAAATTAAAAAAAACAAACATATTTTTCATTTTTCTAGGCAGAAATATTTATTTTTCATATTTCCAAATTTTGTAAATAGTTTTATTATGTAATCTTTGGAATAACTAATAAAATCAAGTGTGCTTTTTTTGAATTTCTGTGAATACCTCTTGTATAATAATTTAAAAATAGAGATGTGTTATGTTTTATCCTGAAGTAATATTGTTAATTTATAATTAACTGAAAACTTGCTTCTTCAAATTTAAAAACTTGTTTTGATCAAGTTCTTTTTATTACAATAATTGCCATAATTCACCTTAATTTGGTTAAATTGTTTAACTTCAATTCTCTTTGTTAGCTTGTATTATCAACGCTTAAATGTAACTGAACAAAAGAACTGCTCAGAAGAAAAATAAATATCACTTTTTTTTGTTAAATTTTCCAATGATTATTAATACACAATTTTCATCCTATTTATATATATAAGTTAAAATACCCTGCCAAACTTTTTTTAATTTTTCAGAAAGTGTTTGAAGGTTTAAGGATGATGTTTATTAAAGTTAAGTAAAGAAAAATAATGATGTACGTCTTATCAGCCTTCTTAATATTTAGGTTTAACAGTAACTTCTTCAGAGTTAGTAGATTTATATAGAATATGTAAGGTAGTTTGGTAAAATATCAGTAATTTTTTATTTTGTTTAACTATTTCTAATTAACAAGACGGTGTAAGATGCAGTAACGAGCTTAGAACAACCTCTGCCTCAGTTGAAAGGTGAAAATTTATACTTTGCATACTTTAAGTATGTTACCATTAGTTTGGTGCAACTGTATATAAACTTTGTATTGACCATGCTTTATAGAACATAGACATTACATTTGACGAAAAACACACTTAGAAATCTTGCAAAACTGCACACATGCAAATTCAAGTTAAATATTTCAAGAGTTTATATATACAAAACACATTTTATTATAACAAAAATAATCGCAGCATGACAACTGATTTTGTTCTTTTTTTTATTTGGTTAACATATTTGACTTCAATACTTTTTCTTGCTTTTAATTTCATTGTTTATATGTAAATGCACAAAAAATTACTGTTGAGTAGACAAACATATAAGTTTCACTTCTGTTGTTAAATTTTCAAAGAATATTTTATACATACAGTTAATATAGCCTGCCAAAATTTTTTTTAAATTTTTAAAAAGTGTTTAATGGTTTAAGATAATGTTTTATTAGAGTTATGCAATAAAAAAAAAAATCAGTTTCCTCCAAACAATAGTTGAAACAACACATTAAAACAAATCCTCCTTAAAGCTCATATATTGACATGGTACATGTAAACTAGTTTTGCAATCAGTACAAATTTTCTTTATTTAAAAACTCTAATGTTCAACTCTTTATAATTAACGTATAAATCAATTTATAAATAAAGTTCTTCATCAGTAGTCTGGTAAAACTGCATATAATCTTTATATGCGAAAGTACTTCACAAGTAGTCTTGTACAACTGTATATAAACTTTGTATTTAAGTATGCTTTAAGGTCAAAAACATATTTTGCGAGAAATACATTTATAGATCTGTAGTGTAGTAAATTAAATAGTCTATAATTAATTTTCAACCAACATAGAAGGCTTTATTTTTCATATAATATTTAAACTAAAATATACAAACAGGTTAGTTTTAGTATACACATAATTAAATTCAACAAGGATAATAATAATTATAAAAATCAGCACAAGATCTTTTGAAATATATTTGAAAATAAAGCGCACTTGCCTCTCTTTCAAAATTAGCGAATCAGATTGCTCATATTTCTGACTATTCTGAGCCTAGTGAGGCCAGGTCGGTGTTCCGACCTGGCCTCACTAGCTTCAGCTAAAACTAAATTGTAAATAAGCCGCCATGATGGTTCACAAACAAACAACGAGTTACCGTATACTTATTGCGCTTTTGTATTGATATACTTGTTTATATAATTTTGAAAACATTTAAAACCATGGTTTTTTGTTGTGTGTTTAATTGCACTAATCGTTCTGAAAATTGTACAAAGTCATTTTTTCGCATTCCAACCATACTTTTACACCACGACGAGGAAACTAAGCAACTCTCAACAGAAAGGAAAAATAAATGGTTTTGTGCAATAAAACGTGAAGATATGAATTTCGATGCAACTCACTATAGAGTTTGTTCTGATCATTTCATTACAGGTTTTTTTTTAGTTATTTTCTTTTTTTTTTCTTTTTTTTCGAAAAATAACATTTTAAACTTATCAGTTTTCTATAAAATACAGCTAAATTGAGGTTTCCAACAAATTTATTTAGTTGCATTAACAATTCAAATATGGTAAACTCAGTTCTTTTTAAGGAATACAATATTTTTTACTTCTTATAGTATATATGATTAGGCATATATTTGTGTTTTATATATTACAGGGAAACCTGCTAAATTATTCGAGAAATCTCACCCAGATTGGATACCGAATCAATCCATGGTTTATGAAAAAAAACTAACAGACGTTTCGAGACACAAACGTGACTTTCGAGACACAAACGTGCACAAACATTTTCTTCCTATAAACACCACAACACTGTCAAGTTTTTAATTGGTATTGCTCCTCAAGGTGTTGTAAGTTTTATTTCTAAATCATGGGGTGGTCGTGTTAATGATAAATATCTAACTGAAAATTGTGGTTTTTTATCAAAGTTGTTACCTGGTGATGTTGTTCTGGCTGATAGAGGATTCAGTATTGAAGACAGCATTGCTTTATATTGTGCAGAGGTAAAATTACCATCATTTACCAAAGGAAAACGCCAACTCAGTTCTTGGGACGTTGAGCAGACTAGAAAAATAGCCTCAGTACGAGTTCATGTAGAGAGAGTTATAGGTAATATTCGAAATAAATATAAAATTTTACAAAGTACAATTCCTCTGGACTACTTGATAAAACAGAATAATGGCCTTACTACAATGGACAAAATTGTTACAATATCATGTTCATTAATAAATTTGAATGATTCTGTGATACCATTTGATTAACCATATGGTTAGATGAAGAAATGCAGCAAAACAAGAGTTTTTTTTTATGAGTAGAATATATATGGCTTTAA